CAGCAAGCTCTGATGCCGTAGATGTAGTCATATGCGACAACTTAAACTTGATTGTCATTTCTGCAGCCGGAATTACAGCGGCACCTGATGAGCTGCTGGATGAGACGGACCCATCAGTGTATATCTGCGTTTGGTCTAAGTACAACTCATGTAATAATAGCAGTGTTGCTTGTTTCAATGCTACTCTGGAGTGACTGCTTTTCTTTTTGATTCCCGGAATTTCTAGACGTGCTTGCGGCTGGTCGAGGCACCACAAAGGGCATGCCGTTCTCGCAGCTGGCGTATATCCTGATGGAATGCTGTTTAGGTGCTTGGCTATGACGTCTGAAAATGTAGCACGTGGTCTTCCAGAAGGTAGAAGGGCCAAGTGGTGGTCGGGGACACGGCTAGCATGTCGAATGTGCGCTCTGAGGCAATCCACAATTATATATGTCCTGACCGGATGGTCTTTGGCAAGCATGATTGTGGCATAAGTAGAAGCGCATCGGGGCAGTCCTAGGCAGATACGCAGTGCCTGACCCTGGAAACTCTCCAATGAATGAGTATTCGATTTGCAAGTGTTAGTCAGTACCGGCAAGCTGTAGCGCAATAGACCCAGAAATAGGGCCCTGTACAGCTGCAGCATGGAGGCCACAGAAGTTCCCCATGCTTTGCCACACAAGAATTTCATGATATGCACAATAGATAGCAGCCTCTTCTTCAAGTAAGCACAATGTGGGCTCCACGAAAGACTTCTGTCGATTATTATGCCCAGGAAACGATGCATCCGTGCATATTTGACACTCTGCCCATTGATGTAAACAGGGTATGGCGTCATTGGTTTGCGTGTAAACGCCATCAACGCGCACTTCACAGTTGATATATTTAGGCCTTGTTTCTGAAGGTAGGCTGTTGTGAGGGTTGCTGCCCGCTGTATTCGTGCACGCACCTGAGGGCGAGTAACTGCAGCACTCCAGAGGCAAATATTATCGGCGTATATGGATAGGCACAGCGACTTTGGCAGAACCTTCACCAGACCAATGAGGGCCACATTGAACAATGTGGGGCTTAAAACACCTCCCTGAGGTACTCCGCAGTAGGTGTAATGTTGGGCAGTTGTACCCTCATATGTTTGTACAAAACAACCCCTGCCAGTTATATAATCTTTTATCCATTGAAACATTCGTCCACCAATGCCCATTCCTGCGAGAGAAGTGAGGATGGCATCGTGAGCTACATTATCATATGCACCCTTCACGTCAAGAAAGAGTGCCATTGATATGCGCTTGCGACTTTTTTCTTGTTGAACAAATGTCGATAAATCAAAAACACAGTCAATGGAGGAGCGGCCCCGACGAAAGCCTGCCATGCAAGAAGGGTATTTGGTGTATCGTTTCAAGTACCACTCGAGACGAAATAGAACCATTCTTTTCATCACTTTTCCGAGGCAGCTTGCGAGGGCAATAGGGCGATACGCTGTCAAGTCCAATGGTGATTTTCCTGATTTCAAAAGTGGTAATATTCGACTAATTTTTTCTTCTCGGGGAACACTGCCGCTGAGCCAGGAGTTGTTGAAGCATGTTAAAAGTTCTTTTCTAGCTTTTTGTCCAAGGTGTCCCAACGCACTATAAGTAATACCATCAGGACCTGGCGATGACATGCGTTTAGAAGCGACTAACGCACCTTCCAGTTCTTCCATGGTGAACGGAATGTCCATTTCTGGTAATCGCGTCTCAGGAACGATCACAGCGTCGATGCTCTCGTAATAGTAATAGAGGCGTTATAAATTCGGCACTGGGGCCGACAGCTTAGGGACTCGAAGAGCCGAGGTGTCTTCTCTCGCACGCATCCGTACGCATCCGTCGGATTCTCTCTCTGTTACGAAGCGCACCGCCGACGAGGTTACGAAGGGCGCCACGAAACTCGCCGCTGCCAAGGACACCGAGCGCGCCGACTACGAAAGCGACTCCACGCAACGAGAGGCTTCTCTGACACATAGGTCTACTGCTGGCGACGCGCCTCAGGGATTTTTTTAATGGACACTGGGTGGATCCTTCGAGTTACCAAATGTCCAACCAGGAGCGCCACTGGCCGTGATGTCGGAATCCTCCAATGGGGCCCGCCGCTGCGCGTGGTTGCACCAAGGACGAGGGAAGTTGCCACGCATTGCGTAAGACTCGCCAGACTGGAAGGCGCCGATTGCGGCGCGTGGTTGCAGCTAAGGACGAGTGACGTTCCCACCCATTGCGTAAGACTCGCCAGACTGGACGGCGGATTTCTTCAACGGGCTCGCGGTGCGTTGCGTGACAGAACGGCGCCACCGCTTGATGACGTCGTTGAGTTGATCGCGTCAGGCGGGTTCGATTGCTGGCCTTGACACAGATTGCCTTTTGTGGAGGCATTGACGTTCGGTGTGGACTCGCAGGCGTAACACACAGGACCGAGTCGACTGGCAGAACATGGGAGAGGCCTTTGTCCTGCAGTAGACGTAGTCAGGCTGATGATGATGATGATGATGATGTAGCTGTGTGAGGTATTTGGCCTTTTCAGCTTACTTCTAGCCGACTAGCGAGGGGCCATTCAGCAGGCTCATGAAGCGGCTGCTAGGTATTCCTAATCGGTCCCTACGTGGTAAACGTCCGTTACGCGCATGCTGCAGGACAAAAATGAAGTTTTTCCAATCCATTGTTACATGGTGCGTTGGTCCTATTCAATCAAGTTAACACGACCGTATTGCATTGGGATCAAACGCACAACCTGCAAAATTACTTGTCTAATGAGAGAGAGTAGCAAATAGGAAAAGTCAACCAGACGCACCTTTGGTTTGCTACTCTGCCCTAGCGAAAGGTACAAATGGGTGAAAAAAAAGGAAGAGAGGGGTGGTGAGAGAGATGCACTGAATCAGCATGACAGGTGAATTTAGTCGTCATTTACGGAGGCATTCGATTGTTTTTATGATAGCGTTTATCTATTCGCTATGGCACCTGGAATCACAGTGTGATAAGACTGCTTGGCGCAGTTGCACCAGAATGGAGCCGTTTTTATCAGTCGCTAAGAGTTTCCTCTACAGAAACCAAAGTGCTTCAATTCTGTGCAGCAAGAAAAACAAGGAAAACAAAAGGTGCCCCGACAAGAAGTGTGTTCAAGAAGCAATCAATAGAGACAAAAAATTCTTTGTGAGCTCTTAGTAATAGCTCGAAAAAACAAAGAAGCTGCAGGTTTTGCCTAGATCGTTCTAGAAAAAAAAAAAGGAATGTTAACTGCGACAATGAAAAACATTAAACGATATGAAGATGTAACGCGTGCCGAATCAAAGTGCAATCGAAAGAAGCAGCTTTGAGGCTCCTGTTTTACAATTAGCTACTGAAGGCGTACTTGCCGATAGAAAATGTAACCACTCAGGAAGCACTGTCTTTTACAACACCACAGAGACGGTGGACTAAGATACTGTCATAAGGTAGCATGTCAAGGCTGCACGTTACTTGTTTATTTATTAAATTTTTGCTATTGCACTGTATATTTCCTACAATTTCTGGGTATTCGTTTGTGATTACACAGTGGCCTACATTAAAATAGAGTAAATATTTTAAAACAAATTTTTAAAAAGACCATCGTTAAATGACACCCATAATAATACACATACATGACGAATGCATATCTAAAACGAGCATCTTGAACACTGCATCGACGTCAGTATTTTGGGGAAAAATTCGAGCTATATTTGGAAGTTATTGTACAATGGGTCTAAATGAGTATTCAGTTTTGTCAGTATAACGTACCATGAATGCGACAATGACCCACCTATACAAAACGCACACACAGACGCAAGCAAACCTATTCGCAGTACGCTTGCAAAAAAAAAAAACGACACGCCACGCCAGAACTGCGTCACTGCGTCACAGAACTGCGCCAGAACTGCGCCAGAACTGCGCCAGAACTGCGCCAGAACTTCCACGCCAGAACTGCGTGGAAGGCGCAGCACATTCACAGCAAAAGCTTGACGGGCGACCTTTCAGAGCCTTTTCAAAACACTCATTGGGTAACTACTGCAAGCACACTTGCTTGGTACCCACTAGGGCATTAAGAATTAACTTCTGGGTAGTAGGCCAGCATTCACTACGCTATTTTTCGTCATTCTTCTGAGAAATGTGGTATCGGCTAAACACTTGCAAGAAATTTTGTGCCTATTCTTCATGCAGTGGTTGACGACGATGAGGAATTATGACTGAAGTGGGACTGCGGCATAGTTAATGGGGGAACAAGAACAAGCTTTTGTAATGTGTTGGAGCATAGGACGGCCCACTAGTTATGCCGTTCTCATTGTGCCACGACTGGTTGCCCCCTTGCTGTTTTAAAACTCTTTATAAGTCGTATTAACGCGATTGCTTTCCCGACATCAAGCCTGCCTAAGGCAAGTTTGACAACACGTCACAAGCACCGACGTAGTTCAGTGGTTGAATACTGGGCTGGCACCTAACAGACCCTGGTTTAGATCCCCACGGCGTCTTTGGTGCTAGATTTTTTATAAAATAATTTCGCGCGATGTGGTTACGGACACCGGCGGTGGTGACGGACAACTGCGTGTGACCCGAGTTGTGATAACATAACAAGTTCCGCTGTAAAACCCATGCACAGAAAGATAACTAGATGAAACTAGCACGAATTACTCAAAAAAAAAAAAAACGTGCCGAAAGCCAGTACAAGAGACACGACATCGTTTACCGAGGAAGTAAGAACAAGGGAGCGTGCGGCCACTCGGTCAAGAAACTGGGAAGAGGATGGGGAAGAAGGGAAAGAGGAAAAGATGGGAGGTGCGATCGACGCGCCGCGCGGTGTTTGAACGCCGCGTCAGCGCCCGGCGGCCGGTATGAGTTGAGTGCTCGCCGTCGCTTCTGGCGAGTCGCTCGTGAGACGGCGAAGCGGTAGAGTCGGCCTGCTCTCGGAGAGCGTAACTGACAACCGATCGCGCTGCTTCCCCGGAACGTCTTGAAAAGAGAAGTCGCCCTCCCTTAGATTTCGAGATGGCTATCCTGCGGTCGTGTTGTTGCTTTTTCTCCGTGCGCAAAGGAAGCTTCGTGTGCGGAGTCTACACTTTGGTGAGTTGAAACAGAAAACTTTTTCCGCGCGCATGTGTGGCCGGTAAGCGCTGCGTACTAATTGTGACTTAGATGACATGGATAAAAGTGTGTCAAAGCGCCAGGATACCTGTTAGCTTTTGATTCTTATACACAAATATTTTCGGTAAAGACGAAAATGCTTGAGCCCTCTGTACTTTAATTTTAGTGCACGTTAACAAAACCGAGCTGGTCGAAATTTCCGCAGCCTTCTACTACGGCGTCTGTCATAATTGCGCACATGAAACACCAAGAAATATTATAGTTCTTACGAACCTTAAGGTTATGGGATTGAATTTCCACCATGGTTGCCGCGTTTCCGATGGAGGAGAAAATGCTATTTGTCCGTGTGTTCAGATTTATGTACACGTTAAACAACCCGAGGTGGTAGAAATATCAGAAGCCCTTCTTAACGGCGTCTCTCGTAAGGTTTTGGGACGTAAAACGTTTTATATTATTATTATTATTATTATTATTATTATATATTATTATTATTATTATTATTATTATTATTATTATTATTATTATTATTATTATTATTATTATTATTATTATTATTAATATTAATGAACGCTGTAGTAGTTCAAAACCAAAAACGTTGCACAGCTGATATGGTGTCGTCAATCATCTGATGATGTGTCTTCCTGCCTTTCCTTGCATCTTTATCTCTCTCTCTCTCTCTCTTTCTACTCTTGTGTATTCCATGTCTAAATTTTGTGATAGCCAGCTCTATAGTTGCTAACTAAACACTGGCTGTGCTGGTGGGACTCGATCACTGAACCGAAAGTCGCGAGATGGAATACCGTCTCCAGTGGCCGAATTTCGACGGAGGCGGAAATGCTAGAAGCCTGTGTGCTGAGATTTGAGATGAACGTTAATAGCACCAAGAGGCCGTACCGCTTGACTCCCTTCAATGCGGCGTATTCGGTAACAATACCATGATTTTGAGACCGTAAATACCAGAAATTACACTATTAATCCTACCTAAGACAAAATTAGAGGGGTGGATTTGCATGAGCGCTACAGAAAACACAACAGTTTTTGGTTCTTACACTTTGTGATTATTCAATAGCTAAAGCCTTGCGCTACTGATATCGTGTTGCTATCATATATGCGGTTGCTGATTTTCGTATCTGTGATATGGGGGTTGTCGGCTCAAGTCATTGCCTAGCTCGCTCGTGTTTATCTTCACGAAAAAAAAAACTTGAACAACAAAGTGACCTCGCATATAAATTTCTTACCGAGATTGCCAACTTGGGAATCAACTAGAAAAAAAAAAGCTCAAGCATAATAGATTTCTCGCACAGTAAAAAAAAATTCAGACATTGCAAGATAATGTCACTGCGCTAAATGTGCCTGATGATAGAATGGTGGTCTTGGCGCGTAAAGACCTTGAGGTTAATTGTATTTACGTCACTTCTTGCGCTGATTGTGTAAATTAGAACCGTCTACAAACCTTTCCGGCTTACCATTGGAAACGAGCAGACACCCTAAACATTATTGTTCTGATGAAGAAAACAGCAAAGGAAGGGACTAGTAAGTACACATTCATGAATGCGTTGCGCTTGGGTGGCAGTTGTTAGTCGGCTCTCTCGACAATTTCTCTGTTGTCTTTGTCTTTTCTGTACGCTAATCGAATAGTAACACTTTTATTGCGATAGCAATTACATGTGCCGTCTTGATGGCTGTTTTGCCTTACTTTCATATCTCGTATAAAGTGCACATTGATAAGATCACCCAGCGCATCGTACGTTCTACCCGCCAGTATTAGAGCGCGAGCGAGGGCGATGAACGTGGCTGAAGCAGATATGAAACCGACCGGGCCCATCTCCATTGCTCGAAGGTTGCAGGGGATAAGGTCCACCCGTCTGTTGGACCAGCTGCCGAATGCTCAAGCAGAGAGAAAGTGCCGAGCGGCAACAATGAACTTTGATTTTACGGGCGTGGTCGAGATGCCTGGCGCTCACGCTATCTTGCTATTTCGGCAGCCATCGACGGGTGGCTTTTATATCGTTCTACGTGCTGCTTTCTCAATGCGATGAGACTGTGTAAAAAGCTTCCCTGGAATGGCTGTATTCTCATACATCATCTTTTTGTGAAACTGCGTGAGACCGAATCATAAGAAGTAGCTGCCAGCCTCACTTCGTATGTCATTGCAATTTGTTACTATCACATTAATTGGTTCACCGTTGTGGGAAAGCTGTTACTTCTTACTCTACGAACATGACAAGTGTGTTACGAGATATACATGAGATAGACAGATAGACAGACAGACAGACAGACAGACAGACAGACAGACAGACAGACAGACAGACAGACAGACAGACAGACAGACAGACAGATAGATAGATAGATAGATAGATAGATAGATAGATAGATAGATAGATAGATAGATAGATAGATAGATAGATAGATAGATAGATAGATAGATAGATAGATAGATGTGTGCAGTGTAATATAGACTATTTAAAAATATCCAGAAGAATTGCGCTGTCTTCTCCGGCATGGTATCCTTTAATTTTTTAATTATTTTTCTGCGCCGAGCTCAGAGCAACGCAATCACAAATAAAACGCAGCTTGGAGCGCTCTGAAGCTGAGCTTGGGGACATACATAGCATAAATAAGTCATAAGTCGTCTTATAAATTAAAGCTAGTGAGGATGCTACGCGTACCGTTAGATTAAAATTCGCCGTGTGTGTGGGTTTATGCCAGGCTCCAGAAAATAGCCTTAACATTTATCGCTGCACTGCAGTGCTTTGTAGCGTATCTAGCAAATCACAGCTGTCGGTTATTTATTACAATATTTTTAATTGTAAAACAGGAAGTGTTCATACAATTTAAAATTTAACATACAATTCGGAGTGCGCGATGGCTTGAGAAAAAGGATATTTGGAACACGAGGTTTATGTAGGTGAATACGAGTGCTGACAGTAGGCCAAGGTATGTTTAATGCAAAATATCCGTCTTTTCATAAAGGCGTGGTGACTTGCACTCACAAGTGTTTTCAGCGGTGCTATATATATATATATATATATATATATATATATATATATATATATATATATATATATATATATATATATATATATAAAAAAGACGAGCAAAGCTGGAGATTGCATGATCGGGTAAATGAAATAATAAAACATGATGATCTTAAGCGTTTTTTGAGGGAGTTAACCAAACGTACTCTTGAAGCACGTGCATTTTTGCGTAAATACATGAGTTAACGTGAACACAAAATGAAGTTCTTTTTTTTTTCGCACTGATTTGCACAGTTGGGTGTGCAGTAATGCGTCACCACAAGTAAAGGTTATGTATGGCATCTGTCATAGCAGGTTTTCAATACGTCCAATTTTGGAATCAAAAGACACCCCGGCTGCGGCGGCTGCATTTCTGATGGAGGCGGAAATGTTGTAGGCCCGTGTGCTCAGATTTGGGTGCATGTTAAAGAACCCCCGGTGGTCGAAATTTCCGGAGCCCTCCACTACGGCGTCTCTCATAATCAAATGGTGGTTTTGGAATTTTCGCCTTTTTCGAAAATGCGGCCGCCGCTGCCGGGATTTATCCCGCGACCTGCGGGTCAGCAGCCGAGTACCTTAGCTACCAGACTACCGTGGCTGGAGCGTGTGTTGTGCGTGCGTGCGTGCGTGCGTGCGTGTGTGTGTGTGTGTGTGTGTGTGTGTGTGTGTGTGTGTTCGGTAATTACTGCTGGAAGTACTCCCAAAGCTTTGGTTTGAGGTAGTTGGTCACATTTACTCATGCAGACATTCACGCCGGAACACGACGAAGGCAAAAAAACACCGCAGACAGGGATATCATTCTATAGATAATGAAATTATGGCATGCCGTCGAAGTCTGCCATCGCTCAAGTATGATTGGTTCACAGCGCTGCTACGGCTTCTCTGATTAGCTTAAAATGCCGAAATTCAGGAATTGGTCAATATGGCGTCGTACTCCTTTCAGTGTCCTTTGTTTTTCTCGTCTTCGCACCTATATGTCTGAATGAAAGCTAGCAACTACTGTATCCATTGAAACCACGCGATTAACTTGATTAAGTTGTCGGCAGCGGGAGCCAAACCCACACCCTTCTTGTCACTGGTACGTTATAAATCACCTTAGCCGCAGCGTGTACTGGTTAGCAAGCCTTAGTAATTAACGCGAAAGCGTTTCTTGACCAGATTAGCGAAAGCGCACACCCAGCTTTCATCCACAAAAGTCACGTCCTTAAAGTACGTGACTTCTCCCAACAGAAATGGCGTCGGTGCAAAGAACTGCTGCAGCAACCACCTGTGGATACGGCCTATAAGTGAGGGAACTTCCTACCGTAGACTTGCAGCACCCGTCGGTAACAACAACCCAATAAAAAATATGCTTTCGTGTTTACATCTCATAAGAACATGCTTTGGTACACTCTGCAACATTTTGTTCATCTGTGCTTCTGAGCGAAACAATATTTTACCGAGGAGGACACCCATATCGATCGCTTTGACTGAGTAGAGTTGTGTAACACCCCCGATCTGGAACACATGTGTTAGAGCAGGATGAAAGAAGGTTAATTAAAACGCTGGAAGGTTGAATCCAGTTGCCTACCCTTGACTGGGGAAGGAGAAGAGTTTTAAAAAAGTAGAGAGAGACCACCGTTTCTGTGACCTACGTATAAAATATAGTTTTTTTTTTGTTCGATGAGCAGACGACCATCGGTCTGGTAGTCTTCAAGAATCACACTACGCTTTCATTGCCTTTTGTGGCTCTGATAAGAAAAAAACTGCGGTATCAAGATGTGGTGTGAAAACACAGTCGTGTGTCATTTACTCCTCGCTGTCGCGTTCACCATGCACGTTCGTTGATAATTACATTGGCTGCAATGCCGAGTGCAGCGAATGCTGTCCCGAGATGAATTCCAAGCACAATAGGGCCTATGGATAGTTTTGAAAATAAAATAACTGGCATTCACACTGACGTTTACTGCCCTTACAAAACTA